TCTGAGTCGGCATCAGGTACGTGCTGTATACCGCGGAAACGACCCAGGCGATCTGCTGCGCGTTGGCCAGCACTTGCTTGATCAGCACCGTGAGCAACTTCTTCAGCTTGGGGTCGCACTTGGTCTGGTAGGCTTCTCCCCCTCGTTGCTGGCGTCGTACTTGCTGGCCTGAAGCAGCGGCTGCTGCTGGGCTTGCCACGCCCTGCTGCTCTTCCTCTTCCTTGTCCTGCATAGTGGCGCCCCCGTCCGCGCCCTTTCCCTCTGCCTTTGCGCCTTTCTTGTGGTGGCCGCCCTTGCCCTTGGGGTGCGTAGTCTTGCGCTGCTTGCTGGAGCGTTCCGCGTCCGCCATGCTGCTCGCCACCTCCTCGATGTCCTTCTCGTTTGGCACGCACCAAGTCATCCTGGAAGGGGCCGATGTCGAGCGAAATCTCGCGATCTGCGGTGGGGAGGTGATACGTGCACACGTGGTCCCGGAAGCTCGAGAGATGTGCAAACGGATGCAGGTGTGGACAGAGGAGACAGACTGGGTTCTCGATCGGTGTCAACGGATAGTGAAGCCTGGTGTCGTCGGCAATGCAGCGCTTGTGGTTGAGGGATCGCAACAGATGATCTTCGGCTTGGGCTCCATCGAGAAACGTGGTACGACAGAGCGGACACTGATTGGTGATGGTGACTGCTGCAGCTGCTGATCGAAGCCCATGCTCTCCTCCTTTTGTCGCGGTCTGACGGGTACAGAGCGCTGTCCATGATGAAAAAACTCGGCCGCAGGCTTGTCCCGCGTCCGTTAACAGGTCACATGTAGTAACCCAGTTCGTCTCCTGCTCGTTGGTCTTGTTCGTGTGGTTGAGGCTCGAAACCAGGAGGTGGAATCGCTACTGCTGTTGCCCTGGCTCTGAGCTCTGCCACGTCGATCTTGATGAAGGCCGCTGCAACTTCTGAGTCGTAATACAATTGAGTGATGCTCCCGCCCCATGCGTAGCTGAACTCCTCGGCGCTGTCTAACTCGAGGATGGAGAGGACGTCGTTGTAGTACTGCTTCGCCATGGGGCTCGCGTCCGCGATGAGATGGCCATGGTCGTCGAGCTCTCCGATGCGCTCACGATTGTAGTCGTTCTCGAACTTGATGGAGCCGAAGAGCGCCGTGAGCCACTGATCGTAATCTGGCGGGTACTTGACAGAGGTCTGTATCATGCGCAGCCTCCTCACTCGCAGCTCAATGTACATCGGGGAGATGTGGCAGTGCTTGTAACCTTCGCTGTTAGCGATGGTGCGGTAGGTGCCCGCTTCGTCTATGTTGGTGGCTTTGCCTTGCATGAGTACGCGCATGTAGGTGGCAATGACGGCGTCGAGGCGCTTGTATTCGGTGCCCTTGAGGAGGTAGGATCCATGCCGCTGGTTGCGGCACCAATCACCCTGTTAATGAAGATGATACGTTTGAGGCGCCACGGTACTTTGCGATGCCAGAATTTGCCCATGATGTGCCAGGCTCGCTTGATGCTTTGAATGCGCATGTCGATCTCGATGGTGTTGCTGCCGCCGTGGTGGAAGTGGCCGCCCAGATACTTAAGGGTGCGAAGGACTCGCCCTTGGACTTGATCTGCTAGGGCTCGGTTCTCCCTCCGCGTGCGCAGGCCTCCGACGATCTCCGCCTCGTCCCTGTTCTGGTGGAACCCGTACTCGGCAAGGCACTGATCGAGGATGGTGTTGCTGTTGGCGAGGGCCGAGGCGGCGTCCCGCGCAGCGCCCGATGGGACGAGGTGCATCTTGAAGATGTCGTCGACGTACAGGTAGACGGAAAGGTCGAGCAGGGCGTGCGTGATGGGTGACACGGCCGCGAAGGGGGCGGTGTCCTGCGGGGTCTCCTCGAGCCATTGTCCCACTGGTTGCTCATAAGCGAAGTTGAAGGATGTCGGTCCTGTGCTGCAACCTGGCATGACCCCCGAGCCGAGGTAGAAGTCGCCTGCGGAGTCGAACCCGTCGATCTGGACGCTGGCGCACTGGTAGCGTTGGTGAAATAGACGTTGTTCTGCTACGCTGAGCGCGGCCGGGATGGTGTTGATGGCCTTGTCGATCTTGGTGCTGGGGAAGGCGTTGGTGGCGTCCTTGCTGCCGACGATGAAGTCTGCTTTGACCCGCTGCAGGCGGTAAGCGACGATGCGGGAGGCTGCCATGGGGACTTCGCGACGCCTATGAGGCCAGCAGCCGTGAGCATGGGGAGGAGGTGACCACGGCTTGGACTTGCACTGGAGCTGTCTGTAGAAGCAGCGCCAAAAGGGGCACAGCATGTGGAGCATGCGCAAGCCGAGGACCTTGGGCTTGCCGTTCTTCTTGTCGAGGGTGAAGCTCTGGCTGTGGTGGGCGTTGAGAGGGGCGAAGCCGACGCGGTACACGTGGTTGAGGACTGGCTCGAAGCTCTCCTGCGCGAGGGAAGCCTCAGCGAGCTCGCCATCGTAGCCCACGCCTGTCGTCTTCGACTTCTGCTTGGTGATGTTGGCGGGCTGGAGGGTCATCTGGAAGATCTCGGCGGGCAGTGACCAGTCTGGCACGGAGGCGCGCTTCTTGAAGTACTTGAGCCGCTTGGTGACGCCGTAGAGTGCTCGCTTGGTGACGAAGAGGAGGAAGAGGAGGAGGAGGACCCTCCCACCTCCAATTTATGGTGGTGGTGGTGGAAAACAGGCCCATCAACACGGGCCCGCTCGCGCTCAGGCTGTGGGGCTGTCTCGAGCGGTGTGCCAGTGCTGGTGGCTGGCCTCAGGCGCGGCGCCGGTTGCGGCATTACCAGGAAGGGGCCGCCAGGGAGCACATCGCGGGCCCGGTAGCGCCCAAACTGTGGAAGTGTCTCGAGCGGCCTGCTTCGTTGGGTGGCCAGCACCCTTTGCTTTCGGAGCAGGCTCTGGGGATGTCTGAAGCGCGGCGCCGGCTCCAGCACCCCAGTGGGGGCCGCCAGGGAGTATATACCACAGGCCCGTTCGCGCCCAGGCCGTGGGGAGTCTACAAACGGCTTCGGTGTGTTGGTGGCCAGACTCGCCTGCGTTCGGAGCAGAGTGTGAGGAGTCTCTGGCGAAGCGCGGGGCTCAGCAATGCCAAGGGGGAGGCGCCAGAGAGTATATCACAGGCCCGTTCGCGCCCAGGTTGCGGGCATGTCTGAAGCGGTTTGCCTGCGTTGCGCATTGTGCCTGTTTTGGTGGCCAGACCCGTCTGCGTTCAGAATAGGATCGTGAGGATGTCTCACGCGAGACTCTGGTTTCAGCACTCCCATGGGGCGACAGGGGGTATATCATTCCTTGTTCGCGCCCAGGCTGCGAGGATGTCTCAGGATGTTCTCCTGTTTTATACTCAGACTTGTTTGCGTTGAGAGCAGATTGTGAGGGTGTCTCAGGCGAAATGCTGGTTCATCATAGATTCACTCGGTCTCACGCAGACTCAGCCATCCCCACACAGATTTACTCAAGCTCAAGCTCACTCAGGCCCACTCAGGGAACTGATACGCATTCAGGTTCTAGCACTCCGACACACTCTTCCTCACTCAAGCTCACTCAAACTTTTCAGGCGGTCCACTGCTCGCCGCGATATAGCAGGCGTGGCATTTGGCACACCAAGGGGGAGCCGCCAGGGGTGGGAACACTCCAGGACTCTCGCGCCCAGATTGAGGGGATGTCTCAGGCGGCTTGCCTGCTGCTGTTCCCCAAGATCCCCTGCTGTCGGAACAGATTGCGAGGCTGTCTCGGGCGAGGCGCTGGTCTCAGCACCCGGGGGGGGGGGGCGCCAGTGTCGGGGACACTCCAGGAGTCGCGCCCAATGTGTGCGGCGATGTCTCGGGCGGTTTGCCTGCTTCTGCCCCCCAACCATCTTCCGCTTTCGGAGCAGAGTGTGAAATGTCTCTACCAAGGCGCTGGTTTCAGCACTCCCAAGAGGGAGCCGCCAGGGCATATACCACTCCCCCGTTCGCGCCGTCGCTCTCCACCCCCGTGGTCTACGCGGACTCGCTCTGGCATGCAGATGCTCACAGACGGAGTCCCTCAGCGAGGCTTGCCAGGAATATGAGATGCACAGATTGGGGATCTCTGCGTCGAGTAAGTTGGGGTTCGGGTTGTCCTTTGGGGCTTCGGGTGACCCAGAAACTGCAGCAGGTGCCGTGGCTGGAGGCTCTCTTGGGAGCTCCTTGGCAACCATCGAATTCTGATGGGGGTGCTGCGGGGCATGTAGGCGTGGTCTGAGGCCTTTTAGGGTCTCTGGATTTTCTTGGGGGCTCTTGAGAATCCAAAAACGGAGAAATGTGCTGGGGCCGGAGGCTCTCGTGGGAGCTCACCTCACTGACAAGTGTCGGAGTCTTTGAGGAGGCTGTGGAGCATCTCGGAATCTCGGAGCGATTTGGGCCCTCTGGGCAGCTCCCAGGGCCCGCTTGGGGCTGTCTTACTTGAGGCTATGTGAGGCTCTCCCCAGGGCCTGTTCTGGGCCGTCTTGGGGTCCTCCTGGGTCGTCTTGCTGGGCTCGCCAGGGCCACTTGGGCCATCTGGACGCGATCTTGGAAGGACCTGGAGCTGCGTGGGGCCGGCCTGGGCTCGTCACGGGGAGAGTGCGAAAAACCATGAAACAGATTGTTTTGTATGTTTGCTTCGCCTCGTGGGGCCGTCATCGGGGTCCTCGTGGGCCGTCTGTGGAGCCTCCTGGCGAGCCTGCAGGCCCTCTTGGGCCGACATGGGGCTCGCTTCGGGTTCTCTTGGGCCGTCGTGCCGCCTTCTCGAGAGCGTCAGAGCTGTCCTTTTGGCCGTCTGAGGGTGGCCTCTGGAGCAATCGGAGGACCCGCTGTATAGCCGACGTGGCGCTCCCAGAGGCACGCGAGGATCTCGCGCTGCTCGCCTCTTTTGACGTCGCTTCGCACAGAACTTGAATGCAGCTGACGTTGGGCTCCACCTTCGCATCCCGCATCTCGCCCAGCAGCGCCATAGCCCGCTGCCACTGCTCGCCCTTCTGGCACGCGCTGATCACGGCGCTGAGGCTGATGACGTTGGGCTCCAGCTTCGTCTCCCACATCTCGCTGAGCAGCGCCAGACCCCGGTGCCACTGCTCGCCCTTCCCGCACGCGCTGATACCGGCGTTGTAGCTTCCTGGGGTCGTCTTGGGTGCCTCTTGGGCCGTCTTGGGCGCCTCCTGGGCCGTCCGGGGGCCGTCCTGGGGCGTCTTGGGACCGTCTGGGGGCCCTCCTGGCCCGTCTGGGGGCTCTCTTGGGGTCCTCTTCGGCCGTCTTGGAGCGGTCGGGGGGGGCTTCTTGGGCCGTCTTGGAGCGTCGGGAAGCCGACGAGGCGAGGAGGCCAAAAACATCGAAAAACACAGTAGAAATCGACGATTTCTGTCGCTCGGGGCCCTCTTGGGAGGCCTCTTGGGAGGCCTCTTCGGGCGTCTTGGACGCCTCTTGGGCTGCCTGGGGCGAATCTCGGGCGTCTTGGGCCCATCTTTAAGCGTGCCAGGGCTCTCTGGGGCCGTCTTGGGGGCTTCTGGGGGCCCTCTCGACATGTCCTGGGGCCTGCCTGGGCGGCCCGGGGCGGCCCGGGGCCAGCCCGGGGCGGTTTTGAGACATTTGAGCCTGCGCCCTTCTGGCACGCACGTATCACTGCAATGTAGTAGAGACTAGTGTGAACCCGTGAAAAATCCACGGCCCGCAGGTCCAGGCAGTGGTCCCGAACGCGCACGTGTCGGAAGCGCTGGAAGCGTCAAAAGCAATGTGTTTTTGCTAATCGCGCGAGGCCTGGGCGCGAGTAGCAGAAACACGTAGGTTTTCAGACGCAATCAGAGTAAGGGGGCCCGAACGATGTTACAGAGTCCCTGTACGCGAGAAGTTCGATGTGGGGGGTAGACGCGTGGGGGCCAGAGTTGGGCGCTACGTTGGGGGGCCTCGTTTGAGGGCCACGTTGGGGGGTCTCGTCAGGGTGTCATGGTTGGGGCCAACGTTCGCGGCCCTGCCGGGGGCCATGTTTGGGGGCCGCGTGCGGGGTTCGGGGGCACATGTGACGGTCGCGTTTGAGGGTGTGGGGTTCGGGGGCAGATGTGACGGTCACGTTTGAGGGCAATGGTTGGGGCTGTGTGTGTTGGGGCCACGTTTGGGGGCGCCTGGGGGCTACGCGTGGGGTTGACGTTCGGGGGCCACGCTTACTGGGGCGGTAGGGGCGACCTTCGGAGGCTTTGTGTGGGGGCCGCCTTTGCGGGTCCCGTTTGGAGGCCGCGCGTGGGGCCGACGTGTAAGGGGCCACGTCCAGGGGCGATCTCAGAAAGCAGTCGGGGAGCCCCCGGGGGTACTGACCTGGAAGCGTGAAAAGGAATGGGTTGTTGCTAATCGCGCTGGGACTGGGCGCGATCAGCAAACTCAAGGGTTTTCAGGCACCGTCAGAGTGAAGGGGCCACGTTAGCGGGCCCGCGCAGGGTGGTCCTGGGGCCATCTCGGGGTTCTCGGGCCGTCGAGATGGCCGTCTCGAGAGCTCTGGCAGATCGAAGCCAGCAGAACCGAGAGAGCAGCGGTGAGGCCCCCGATACAGCCAAGGGTGCGGGTGCTGGTATACGTAGGGCCCCCGAAGCGGCTGTAGTGGCCTGCGGGCAATCTCGCCGCGGGCCTGGGTAGTGGGTAAGAGATCTCGTGGATGTTGGTTGGGATCTCGTGGTTGGCCTCTCGGGAGCCTCTGGGAGACAGTTTGGGGGCTTCTTGGTAGCAGTTTGGGGGCGTCTTGGGGCCTCGTGGGCCCTCTTTTGGGGCCTCTTGGGGGCCTTTTGGGGCGGTTGGCGGCCTCTGGGGGGCCTCTTGGAGCCTCTTTGGGGCGTCCTGGGGCCTCCTGGGGATGTCTTGGGAGCGTCCCGGCGTTTCTTTGGGGCGTCTTGGGGCTTCCTGGGGGCCTCTTGGGGTGGAGGCCTCGATTTTTCGGTTCCGGGTCCGTCTTGGGCCTCTCTTGGGGCCTTCTTGGGGCCCTCTTGGGCCGTCTTGAGCGACTCTTGGGCCGTCTTGGGGCCCTCTTGGGCCGTCTTGGGGCCGCCTTGAAGGCCTCTTGGGCCGTCTTGGAACGGTCTTGGGGACCTTTTGGGCGGCCTGGAGCGTCGGAAAGCCGAAAAAGCGAGAAGGCCAGAAACATTTAAAAAAACAAAGAAAATCAACGATTTGGGCTTCTGCGGCCCCTCTTGGAGGTGCACTTCGAGCGCTGTGGGGGCCTCGTGGAGGCGTCTCGGGCCGTCTTGAAGGCGTCTTGAAGCCACCTTAAGCGTCTCGGATACACTCTTGGACCGTCTTGGGCCGTCTTCGGGACCTCCTGAGGCCGTCTGGGGGCGATCTGGGAATCCTGGATCAGTCCGCGAGCGGTCCAGGGGCCTCCCGGGCCCGTCGGGCAGCGGCCCGAAGGCTCTCCGGGCGGCCCGCGAGCTCTCTGGGCGGCCCGGGGCGCTGCCACTGCTTGTACTTCTCGCACGCGCTTCGCCCGGAATTGTAGTACAGATTAGTGTGTACCCGTGGAGCAAATCCGTAGGTGCCCTGGCAGGGGAACGCGGCAAGGCCATCTCGGGGCCATCTTCGGCCGTTCTGAGCGCATCCTGGCCGTCTTGGGGCTGTCCCTGAGCTGTCTTGCAGCTCTCTTGGGTCGTCTTGCAGCCTTGCAGGAGGCTCTGGGTGCACCCGGGGAACCTCGAAAAGTGCCCCAAGAGGGCCTCGAGAAGGCCCGAAGACGGCCCCAAGAGGGCCCCAGAAAGCACCCGACGGATGCTACGACAGGGCGGTGCGCTGTAGCATCCGTTGGGGTGCCTCTTTGGGCTCTCAGGGAACGCTCGTGGGGCCACCTTGGGATGCACCTGGGGCTCTAGTTGGCCATCGTTGGGGAGCCTCGTGGGCCAGCTTGGAGCGATCTTGGGGTCCGTTGGGCCGTCGTGGACTCTGCAAGTGCCCAAAAGGCGTGTACGCTAACAACGTTGGAAACAAACCTACAAAAGCCTCCGGATGTTACACCGGGAGGCCCTGCTGGAACTGCTATTGGAGCGCTCTGGGAGCCTTTTGAAAACTTCGCGGCCGTCTGGAGGCCGTCTTGGGTCATCTTGGGGCCCTCTGAGGCCGTCTGAACGCCATCTTGGACCATCTTCTTGAGGCCGTCCTCGGCAATTCGGAGGCATCTTCGGCGAACTTGGAGGCCTCTGCGATTCGCTTGGGCGCTGCCACCAGAGCAACGCACCACGCGTGGCTCCACGTACAGTGGAGGCTAGTTCACAAAAAAACCTTCCACCAGAAACCCAACCCTGAGACCCCAGCACGTCCATGGGTCTTTGGTGTGGGAACGTCGCGCTTCCATCGCAGAACCATCGAAACCCAAGAAACCCAGGGCACCCTGGAGGCAAGCAAGGTGTTTCTTGGCATGGGCCTCCATTGTAAACGAGTGTGTCAGGGCAACGGCGGAGGCGGCGGCGGCGGCGGCGGCGGCGGCGGCGGCGGCGACGACGACGACGACGACGACGACGACGACGACGACGACGACGACGACGACGACGACGACGACGACGACGCGACGACGACGACGACGACGACGACGACGACGACGACGGCGACGACGACGGCGACGACGACGACGACGACGACGACGGCGCCGACGCCCGACGACGACGACGGCTTCCAGGCGCAGGGCCTGCAGGGCCCAGAGGGCGCGGACTCGCCTCGAGATGCCACCCGGGAGGCCTGCAGGGGACGCCTCGGGTCGTCTGGGGCGCCTCCCGGGCCGTCCTGGGGCTCTCTCGGGGCCGTCTCGGGCCGTCCGGGGGGCTCTCTGGAGCCGCGCTGGGATCCTCGTCGGAGGCCTCTTGGCCCGGCCCGGGGCGATCTTGGGAGATGCTGGGCCGTCGTGGACGCTGCAGGGGCCCAAAAGTCTGGTACGCTCGAAATGCTAAAGAGAGCATTGCCGAAAACACAATGCTCTTGCACCGAAGGCCCTGCTGGATGTACTCTTGGAGCGCTCTGGAGCCTTTTGGAAGTTTTTGCGGCCGTCTGGAGGTCGCCTTGGGCTATCTTGGGGCCCTCTGAGGCCGTCTGGACGCCATATCCTGGGCCATCTTGAGGCCGTCCTCGGCCGTGTCGGAGGCATAGAACTTGGAGGCCTCGTGGACTCGCTTGGGCCGTCTGGGAGGCGCAGGCCATCCTGGCGGGCCCTCCCTGCAGGCCCCCCTCGCGCTGCCACCAGAGCAGTGCGCCATTCGCTGCTCCAGATGTTGTAGGTACTGGCCCTTGGACTACGTCCACGACATCTGCACGAGCTGGCATGTGCTGGTGGACATGCTGCCGAAAGGCTGACAGGAGGGCGTGAGGCTCGAACCCCGCATTCCGCACATGCTACTGCGTGCTGCTGCCTGCTGCCGCTGCTGCGTGCTGCTCGTCATGGTCACCCACCGCTGCTAGGTGCTGCCACTGCTTGCAGCTGCAGGGTGTTGCTGATGCTGGGTCGGACGTGCCGTCTTGCCAGATGTTCGATACATTGGAGGCCATCGGGGGCGCCTCGGGGGCTCCTGACTGGACGGCCGAGAGGCTCGCAGAAAGGTTCTGGGATCGCTGGAGAGGCTCGCAGGGCGCTCTCGGGGGAGCCCAGCACGGCTCCCAGAGGGCTTCGCGTCGAACAAGAACTCAAAAAGCAGCCCCGCTAGGTTGGGGGGCCGTTGTGTCGGATTTCTGCAAAGGGCGAAGCTCGGGGCGTGTCAGGAGCGCCTAGGCCCCCCTGTCGTGGAGGCAGTTTTGAAGCCTCTTGGGGCCTCTTGGGGGCTGGTCAAGGGTCTCTTGGGTCCTCTTTCGGACCTCGTCGGGGCCTTTTGGGACCCTCTTGGGTCGCCCAGGCTACTCTCGGGCTGTCTTGGAGCCGCCTTGAGCGCCTCTCGAGCCATATTGGGGCCGTTGGGGGCGCCTCTCGGGCCGTCTTGGGCCGTGCTGGGCCGTCTTGGGCCTCTCTTCGGGCCCTTTTGGTGTCCTCTGGGGCCGTCTTGGGCGCCTCTCAAGCCGTCTTGGTGCCGTCTTGGGCGCCTCTTGGGCCGTCTTGGACCCTTCTTGGGCAGGTTTAGGCTTCTCTTCAGGCGCTTTTGGAATCCTCTGGGGCCGTCTGGGACGCCTCTTCGGCCGTCCTGGGGCTGTCTTGGGCTGTCGTGGGGACCTCTTGGGGGGCTCTGGGGCCGTCTTGGGGCAATCTTGAAGGCCTTCAGCGCAGTCTCGGACGCTGTTAAAACGAAGACAACGAAAATGCTGAAATTGTGAACTGTCCTAAAGGTTTGGTGCGATTTTTGCTTCTTGGGACCATCGTGGGGGCCCTCGTGGAGTACTCTTGGAATGTCTTGGGGGCCTCTTAGACCATCTTGCAGCTATTTTCGGCGTCTGGGAGCAGCCGGAGGAGCGCGTCCGAGGCCGTCTTGAGGCGCCTCTTGGAGCTCTCTTTGGGCGTCTTGCATCGCCTCGGGGAGTTTTGAAACGGCCAGGGCCGCCCCGGAGGCCCGACAGGGCCCGACGGGGCGCGGGAGGAGGTCTTCAGACAGCGTCCTTCTCGCGCCCGCGTGGACTCCGTCCACGGAAGCTCTCCGAAAAGACTCGCGGGGTCGGGGCGGAAAACCTGGGGAGCATCAATGACTTTGGCCGCTCGGCGCCCTCTCGGGGCGCTTCTTTGGGCCCTCCTTGGGCTGTGTGGGGGCGCTGCTGGGTGGGCCGTCTGGATGCTACATGTTGGCGACCTTCTTGGGCTGGAGGCGTCTCGAGCCAGCCGGGGCCGCCCCGGAGCCCGCCGCCTGGGGGCCCTCTCGGGAGCCCGCCGGGGCCGTGCCGGGACGATCGTGGGGACCTCCTGTGCCGTCTGGGAGCACGGGAGGCCTCTGGGAAACCGAGAGAGGCAAAAATAAATGATGAAGAACTGGTGGGGGAGGGAGGAGGAGGAGGAGGAGGAGGAGGAGGAGGAGGAGGAGGAGGAGCACGAGGAGGACGAGCAGGAGGAGGAGGAGGAGAAGGAGGAGGAGGAGGAGGAGGAGGAGGATCCTGATTCTGGCGTCCTGCGCGCTCTCTTGGAACGCCTCTGGGAGCTCTCCTGGGCCGTGCTGGGGCCCTGGGAGGCTGCCTGGAAGCCATCTTCGTGGCCTCCTGGGCCGTCGAGAGGCGTCTGGGGCCATCTTGGGCCGTGTCGGAGCCCGCCGAGGCCCGCCGGGGCTCGCCGAAGGGGGCCGCTTGGTCGGTCGTGGGGCCTCTTGGGCCGTCTGGGGGCCCTCGGCCCTGTCTGGACGATCTTGGGCGCCTCCTGGGCCGTCGTGGAGCATCGGAAGCCCGAAAAGGCGGGAACATCACAAACGTTGCCCCCCCCCCGAACAAAAAAGAAAGAAAACAAAAAAAAAAAAAAAAAAAAACCTTACGGACAAAAAAAAAGATGTTGGCGTCTCGGCATAATCCTGGGGCCCCTCTGGGAGCTCTCATGGGCCCTCCTGGGGTCCTCGTGCGACTCTTGAGGCCGTCTCGGGACTGCCTTCGGCCGTCTTGGGGCTATCACGCGGCCCCCCTGGAGCCGTCTTGGGCCCGCCGGGGCTCTCATGGGGGCGGGCCAGGGCGCGCCGGGGTGCCCGACGGGGCCGGCCAGGTCGAGTTTGGAGCTTTCGGGTCTGCGCCCGTCTGGCACGCGCTTTCTCTGGGCCCTGTAGAAGAGGTGACGTCGGGCTCCAGCTTCGCCTGCCGCATCTCGAGCATGAGAAGCGATAGCGCCCTTTGCCATTGCTGGACTTTGCCGCACGCGCTAGCAGCGGCGACATACTGGCCTGGGTTGATCTTCACACATTGCAGGGATGCCTCACGGAGCAATTGCAGCGCTGCTCTCCACTTCTCTATCCTTCTGCCCGCATTTGCGGTCGCCTCGGAGAGAGACTCGCTGGGTCGAGATCCATGCCGCATGTCGCACACCTACGGCGATCCTGAACCATGACTATTCAGAAATCAACGCTTCAGCCAAAAACTGCTTGAGACAAAGTGTTTGAGCCAATCTGCCTCAGCCAAAGTTGAGCCAAAAGATGGCTTGAGCAAAGATGAGCCTCTCCAGAAGTCACCCCCTCAAAAAGAACATCACAAAACCGCAACCCTCGATTCTCGATTCCTCATTCTCCTTCTCATCCAGCTCATGCCCAGGGTCTCGCTCCTGGCCCTTCCCCCTAAAAAAGACCCTAACCTGCAAGGCCACTGATTTCTCATCACGGTTTGAAGTGGACAGGACGCATGACAGAACAAGAATTGAGCTTCAGAACCACCCGCAGAATGACTTCTTCTTTTTTGGGTTGGAAGGAGAAGATGGGAGCGGACCGCAAGATTCAAGAACCACCGTCGTAACGCGAATGCCGGTTGCACTTGAAAGCCGCCTTCTTCCTCACCAGAAGTGTGGCAACGGACGCAGGAAACGACAAGGCAGATGACAACCACCCGCAGAATGACGAACGAGGACTGGGATTTGACCAATGACTGCCACACGTGGGGCCTCCAAGGATCTCTGCGGGCCTGGGGGTCTCCAGGGGCCTCTGGCGGCCTCCGGGCACCTGGAGAGACCTCTGGGGACCTCCGGGCACCTGCGAAACCGTTCGCCCCGACGCCACGAAAGGTGCATTTACATGTGTGCATGCATAACGCAGGCATTCACACACACACACACACACATACGTGTAGCATCCGTGCACGCACGCACGCACGCGCGCATGCATGCATGCATGAATACATATCATATACATGCATGCATGCATGCATGCATGCATACGTGCACACATAAACACACACACACACACACACACACACACGCATGAGCACATGCATGCATACAGACATACACATACATACATACACCCACCTACACCTTCACCTTCACCTTCACCTACACCCACATCTACACCTACACCTACACCTACACACACATACACATACACATACACATAGGCATACACATACACATACATGTACACATGCACATACCTATATACACATACATACACATATGTACATGCATGCATGCAGCTACGCGTACATACATACATGCATACATACATACGTACAAATATGCATTGGCATACACATACACATGTACATATACGTATACATGTTCATGTACAAAAACATATACATATACACATATACCTTATCAGCTCTAAGCACCTACATTTATGCATACAACTGCATATACATATACAGATGCACCAACATATATTTTTACATATACACATACTCATGCACGCACATGTACATACACAATTATATATGCATGCAGGCGCACATACATACAGACATACATGCATGCATGCATACATACATACATGCATACGTACAAACATACATGCATACATACAGGCATGCATACCCTACACAGCGCTTGCAGTTAGGAGTTCTTTCTTGTTGCTACAAAGGAGCTGAGCCTATCTGTCAGTCTGGCGGCTATGTTCCCGCCGTCGCCGCCTCATCGCCACCTCGTCGCCGCCCTAGATTGTACAACATAGTTGCATCGCATAGATTGCACCACAAAGCTTGCACCGCATAGACTACACCGTATGGATTGAACCACATCGCTTGCACAATATCCGCCAACCCCTGCTTGCCAGGGGTGAAAATGCGTGTGAGACATTTGGCTGCCCCCATCCCCCGTTCCCCCTCCGCTAGGGCCGAAACTGCCGGTTGAGCGGGGGGGGGTCCCCCGGGGAACTCGCCAGCGCCTCGCCCGGTGCTTCCGGAGCCCCCAGAAATCCACAAGACGGCCCAGAAGGGCCAAAGCACAACGCTGAACTAGTCCAAGAGAGCGTCGACACGGCCAAGGGTAGCCCCAAAAGGATCGGATCGAGGCCGGCTTCGAGGCAGCCCACAAGACCCGAAAACGGCCCAGAAGTGTTCTCGGAAGGCCGCCGAGAGGGCCCCAGGACGCGAGAATCGCCCCATCCCCGAAGGAGACATACAAATGTTGCACAGTCTCGCCCTCGTCGTCCTGACGGCGTCCGAGACTGCCAAAAAGGGGCCCCAAAGAGATCGTCCCAGGGCGGCACACGAGGCCCCCAAGGAGACCCCGAGACACCCCAAGAGAAGGCCCCAGGACAGCCCCATGGGCAGCCAGTAACGACCCCCCCCCGCCATCCTCTGCCCCCCAAAAAAACATATGCGCGCACACTCGTTTATCAAAAACTATAGATTTCAAAAAACCTTGCGACAAAAGGCGAAGTGCACACGCGCGCGTCGTCGCGCGCATGCCGCATCCTTCAGAAATGTTTTGGGTCTCGAAACGATCTCATAATCGAGTGTCCAGTATATGTATATATATATATATATACATACACACGTACATACATACATACATATAAAAGTACAAATACATAGTTATATAAATTCCGCAACACGATTTTTGTTTTGAGAAACAAAAAAAACAGCAAACAAAACAACAAAACAACACAAAACAAAAAAAAACAAAACCAAAACAAAAAAAAAACGTGCGGGCGCGCCCTTGCGAATTCTTAAGAAAACCGTGGGTTTGTGTTTCAACATGTTCAGGACATGCTACCAAACGGGCTTCGCGCGCGCGAATGTCGACATCGTTCGAACGCCCTTTGCGCGCGTGCCGTGGCGAGAACCCTTTTGCGAAAAAGCGGGACGAAAAGCACACGCGCGCATCGTCGCGCGCGCATACCGGAATCCTTAAAAAAAATCGTCGATGCCGGAAGGATTGCAAAATCGAGTGTCCAAACAACATTATATATGTGTATATGTTATGGAACAAATAACTATATAAGTTTCGCAACACGGATGTTCAACAAAAGCGCGCGCGCGCCCTTGCGAATCCGGAAGAAAACCGTAGGTGTTTCAACATGTTCAGAACATGCTACCAAACGGGCTTCGCGCGCGCATGTCGAAATCGTTCGACCGCCCTTGAGCGCGTGCTGTGGTGGCACGATCCGTGTCAAATCGTGTCACGTCAGAACCATGCGAGCCACTCTCGCGCGTCTGCCGCGCGCGCGCATTTCCAATTCTGTCCAAAACATGCATCACCGACGCGAAGACGCCGTCATCGTCGTCGGCGTGATCAGCATCGGCGCCATCACTGGCTGCCCCGTCGTCGCTGTCAGCATCGTCACCAGCATCGCTACTATCATCATCGTGTCTACAGTTGCCGACGTTGCCATGACACCGCGCCCGCCCAAGTCGCCGACTCGCACTGGAGTGCCCGCTGGGATGTGCCGAGCGGTCAGCGCCACCGCGTTCGCGTCGCTCGCGCCAAACTAGCTGGCCGCTGCGCGCGCGAGCATGCGCGGGCTAGCGCGGCCGCAGAGATGCACCAGCTAACACCAAGCACCCATCGCAATCGCTTCCGCATGCGGTTTGCAAACCAAGTTGCGGGTGGGTGGGTGGGATGTTTACGCGAGCAGTGTAGTGGACAACTTCAAGTTGAGCACTGGTGAATTGCACCACATAGACTTCACAACATAAATTAATATAATCGCACTGTTTGGGGCCCACGCTGGCTAAGACCGACACACATATGTATGTATGTACACACATATATGTACATACACAGACGCACGCATATACAAGATTGCACCAGCGCTTAGCGCCATGCACCTCGGTCCTTCACTTTCGGACTGCGGGCGGAATGAGACAGAAGTCAATGAGCAGAAATCCGCAATGACTCCGTGTTGCCGTTTTGGTCGTTGTTGCTGTGAGATGTGTGGATGTGTGTGTGTGTGTGTCCTTCTCCTTCTCTCACATGTCCTTTTCCGCTTCGTGGCTCTCGCCTCACCCTGTGATCCCTTCCCCGACCTCCTCAGCTCTTGTTTGCGGACGCTCTTCCGTGGAAAGCCTCTCGGACGGCAACTGCTCAGGGGCTTCCTGCGGGCTTCTGCAGGCCTCCTGGGAGCCCTTCTGGGGCCTCCGGGGGACTGCTTCGGGCTGCCTTGCTGCAAACTGCGGTCTCTCTCGGCGAACGGGATGACGATTTGGAGTGCTTCCGGGGGCGGCTTGCGGCCACCGTGAGCCGTCGTGAGCCGTCGCGAGCTGTCAGGGGCCCCTCCTCGGGCCATCTTGGGGCCTTGTTGGGCCGTCTTGGCGCTCTCATGGACTGTCTGCAAGCTCTTCTGGATTGCTGCGGGGCGACGCTTGGAGTCTCATGGGCGATCGCGGACGCCCGGAAGACCGAAGAATCGAGCACCCAACGATCACACAAAATAACAAGACATGAATGATGTCTGCGCCTCCGGGCGTCTGGCGGGTGCCTGGGGCCGCTCGGGGCTCTCCCGGGGCCGTTTGGCCACCTTCCTGAGCACCCTGGGCCCGTATTTTGGCGGCGCGCACAAGGGGGTAGGGAGAGGGGGGAAGGCTTCTCAGAAGGAGGCTGCTTCTTAGAAGGCGCCGGCCTTACATCTACAAAGAAGGCCCGCGCCTTCTAAGAAGCAGGGGTGCTTCTAAGAAGCCTTCCCCCCTCCCCCTACCCCCTTCTGCGCGTGGCCAGGTATTCACAGGCTGGCAGGGAGGTCCAGCAAGCCCAGACGGCCGAGGCAGCGCCCTGCATGGAGGTCAGGGAAGGCCGAGGCTCGTCCGCGGGGGGTTCGCGCGCGCTCTGGCCGGCCCCCCCTGGCCTGGGCAGGGAAAGCCAAAACAACTGGCAGCATGAGCGGATGCCACCGGGAAGCTGGCCACCACGACTGAGCACCTCGTGGAAGACCAGCATTTTCGGAGCGGCACGCGCAGCTAGCTTCCAGACGGCTCAGCTTGCCCGTAGCGTCCAGCATGACAAAGACTCGATGTGTCACTCTCGCCTTGGCGGCATTCGGCATGACCCGCGCGAATACGGAAGCATATCGCAAGCGTTGCTATTCAGACATTTGGGCAAACGTGGCCCCGAGCCGAGGGGTGTGATCGTGGAACTAGTTTACGCGACTGCGCATAGAGAGAGAGAGAGGGAGAGAGATCGAGAGCGTGAGGAGCAACACAAATCTGAGAATCATGCTGCAGCAGGCTGGGCCTCCAACGAACCGTACAGCTGCAAGTCGGGGGTGAAGCAGTTCTTCAGGAACGCGCCGTCCTGCACGAGGGCAGCCATTGCCGAGGATTCGTCACCGTCTCCCCTAGAACATTGAGGCGTGGTAGAATTCCATGTGCTGTCTGGTAGGGTTTCCTTTACATTCTACCGGGCGACCCCGACAGGGCAACACTCCCTCGCATGCCTCGCCCCCCCCCCCGCCCCTTGAAAAACAGATCCGAGTTCCCGAGGACACGATCGCTTGTTAAGCCATGATGGAGCCGAGCTCCCGAGGACTCGATCCCTCATAAGAAAGATGGATATGAGCTCCCAAGTTTCCGAGAAGACCGAGGCAGGCCACCGAGGCCGCCGAGCTGGTCCAGGATGCCTCCAAGACGGCCCAAGATGGCCCCAAGACGGCCCAAGATGGCCTCAAGACGGTCAAAAAGGCCCCCAAAACTACCCAAGACGGCCACAAGAGGGCCCCCTTGGAACCCGAAAGAATCACAGGTTCACCCAAATCCGCAACAATAACCTCAAGACGGCCCAAGAAGGGCGAGCGCGGTATTATGGCGACGTGGACAACGGTAGGCAAGATTTGGTAGTAGCGATGCTGGTGCGATGATGACAATAACGACGACAAGGTCACTGACGGCGCCGATGTTGATCACGCCGATGACGATGATGGTGACCACGTGTCGCTGATGAAGATGTTGGAAGGAGTTCGACATGCGCGCGCGGCCGACGGGCGCGAGCGGCCGCATGCTATTACTTGACACGGATCGTGCCCCACCAGCAAGCGCGCAAAGGCGTTCGAATGATTTCGATATGCGCGCTCGAGAGGCCCGCTTGGTCGCAGTCGATGTAAAATCTGAAGAAAGAACGATGGCTTGTTGTAAGAATTCGCGATAGCGCGCGCGCAAGCGTTTTGGAAAACCCATGTTACAAAACCATTTCTGCGTCTTCATATGTGTTCGGGAGCCTCGGTCTTGAAGTCCTTACGAAACCCTCGGTGTTTGAAGGGTTTCGGCATGCGCGCGCGACGCCGCGCGCGAGTGGCCTTGGACTAGATTGTGCAACACTGGTGGTTTCTGATCAACGAGTGCGCGCGCAAAGTCTACTATGTCAGGGATGAAGGGGGCGATACCGTCCTGCCTGGCACGGTATGAACTCATATGACGATGAAACATGAACAAAGGGCATATTCGAATGAAAACCGTACTACTCTTGGCAGGGCCGTTGACCCCAGCGGGGGGTAGATCTTAATTTCTGGTCCCAGAAAAAGTTCTTGCGGTGCGATCTATGTGACACGACGCTGCGCAATTTATGTTGTGCAATCTACGCGAAGCAATAGATAGTGTGCAGTCCATGTTGTCAGACGATGGTGTGCGATCCACGTGGTGCACTCGATGTTTTGCAATCTATGTCGTGCAAAATATGTTGTGCAATATATGCTGTGCAATCTATGTTGTGCAATCTATGCGGTGTAATATATGTTGAGATGTTGTGCAATCTTGCGGCGACGAGGCGGAGACAGGGCGGCGCCGGCGGCAACATAGCCGCCAGACCGCCAGCCAGGCCCAGACAGCGGGCGGCGACAAGGTGGAGACGGGGCGGCGACGGGGCGGCGACGGCGGCAACATAGCCGCCAGACCGCCGGCCAGGCCCAGACGACGGGCGGCGACGGGCAGCGACGAGGCGGTGACGGGGCGGCGACGGCGGCAACATAGCCGCTAGACGGCCAGCCAGGCCCACTTCCATAAAACAGAAAGAAGATGCCCGAAGTGCAAGCACTCTTTAGGGATCACATGGGAAACTCCTGTATACATACAGCGCAAGAAACAAAGAGAGAGAGAGAGACAGAGACGAAAAGGGGAAAGAAGACGGAGCCACCGACCGAGAAGCAGACACTGACTAAGACAAATGCAGAGAAATACGCGTCAACAGTGACAGAGACACCAACAGAGACGCAAGTAGAGGCAGAGGCAGAGGTAGAGAGAAACATGGACATAGAGGCAGCGACAGTGAAAAAGAAAGAAACGAAGGTAAAGACGGAGATGGGAATAATGCGAGGAAGGAGGAAGAGGAGCAGAAGCAAGGCAGGAGAACAATAGAAGAGCGAGGGCGCAGAGGGTGAGTCGGGAATGGACAAGGTCGGAACGCCACAAGGTGCACGAGGGCGCGAGAGAGAACTAACTCCTCGGCATTCGCCGCGTCCTTGAATCTCCCGTCGTTAAGGTGGACCTTCAACCGGTCTGGAAAAAAAACTGCGTCTGGATCGACCTTCGCCACCCAATCATGCGCGTCCAGGTTGCCGTCCGAAACTATCCAGGCCCATGCGTCCATGAAGCCCTTGCTGTTGACCCACGAGGCGGTGAATGCACCTGGCACCTTGGCAACTGGAGAATCACACTGACTTGCTAGTTGAAGTGTCCGGGCAACTGGAGAATCACACTGGCTTGCTGCACTTCCACTATGGATGCTTACTTCGCTCATTAAACAATTGACTTGCATTGAAAGGGTTTTGCCTGGTGTCCTCAGCGTTTCTTGGGGACAGAATGCAATCACCCGGCAAACGTCCCACTCGTCAGCATGAAAGGCAAGGGATCAAACTAGGATTTTCTTTTGTTTCGGGGAGCGAGGATGGGCTAATCGAATGCCGCAAAGATGCCGAAAGTAGCATCCCAGACTGCCCAAGCTGCATCAGATGCAAAAAGATAGGCAAAGAGAAAGAGACGAGAGCAAGGCGAGGAAGAGACGGGGAAGAGGAAGAAGCGAGGAAGAGGAAGAGACGAGACGAGGGAATCAAATCAGGATATGCACCATGATCGCTCCACAAGCGCACGTCACAAGACGTGCATCGACCCGTTTGGCAGAGATCACCGTGTCGGGCTCAATGCTTTCCGTGGAGACGGGATGCTACTGGAGCAACCGACGAACGCATACCTCAACCGAGGAGAAAGGAGTTCGGGTACACTGGGGAGCGCGTGTCCTCCGAGCGCATAGCCGAGGAGAAAGGAGGAGGAGGACGAAATCTCTACAAAGCAGGGGAGAGGCTGATCGGAAGCGCACGAGGCGCATCGAGGCATGCTGCAGGAGAGCAATATACAGCCGGACCTGGGTCAGAAGAGCGTCCCTCGAGAGCATGAGACCCGCCGCCCGCCAAGACACGATGGACACGCAGGGGTGCCCTCCACGGGGTGCACGAGAATACCCAACCAAACACGAAGAACACTCGGGTACTCCAGATTTCACAATAAAAGGGGGGTGGTCTGATTTGGGATGGGGTCAGATTTGAGCTGTCTTGGAGGGTTCCAGTGGGTCTGGGCAAAAAGCCGCCCTTCATGGCTTGTTTGGGGGGGTCTGGAATTGCCCGTCTGTGAGGGTTGTGACCTCCTCCCTTTTATGGCGAAATCTGGAGTACCCTCCCCGAACCGACCTCGACCTTCTGCCTCGGCCAGGCTGCACTCGAAGAGAAGGCTGATACGGCGGAGTGCACCACGCGAGGGTCAGGAATTGCAGGCGCCACGGGCGGACCGCTGCCGCTGCCCTCCCTCTCCTACCGGTGGCCCTCTGCGTACTGCAGCACGGAGATGCTAAAACACGTACTAAACCAACAGCGCTGGTGAATACTAGGTGCGCCACTCATTCTGAATGTACGCGGGCAAACAGGTCCCCATCATCCACATCAACACCATCGTTATCCTCATCCACACCGTTACCTCCCGAACCGTCATCGTCATCATAATCGTCGTTGTCAATATCACCACCGTCGTCACCATCGTCGCCGTGATCATCACAACCGTCATCATCGTCGTCATCGTTGATGTTGTTGTCGCCCACGCAATCATCATCATCATCATCATCATCATCATCATCATCATCATCATCATCATCAGCAGCAGCAGCAGCAGCAGCATCAGCATCAGCATCGTCGTCATCATCATCACCACCATCATCATCGTCATCAGCATCATCGTTGTCACCATCGTCATAACCATCAGCAGCAGCATCATCATCGTCCTCATCATGATCACCATCACTATCACCATCACCATCACAATCAACATCACCATCACCATCACAATCAGAATAACCCTGCGCCAGTGATAATCACACCATGGGGATAATAACGTTCTAGGCCCCAGTGGATAATTATCCCAGTGCGACCCTACCTAGGAGTTGGAGCCTCTAGGAAAGCAACATTAGTAGGAGCGGTAAACGCCGTCCTCCTCCTTCTCCTCACCGTCGTAGTTGTAGCAGTAGCGGTAGTAGTAGTAGTATAGTAGTAGTAGTAGTAGTAGTAGTAGTAGTAGTAGTAGTAGTAGTAGTAGTAGTAGTAGTAGTAGTAGTAGTAGTGCTATGCTATGCTATGCCATGCCATGCCATGCTATGCTATGCTATGCTATGCTATGCGATACTGCGCAATGCTATGCTGGGCTAGGCTAGGCTAGGCTAGGCTATGCTATGCTATGCTGCGCTATGCTATGCTGCGCTATGCTATGCTATGCTATGCTATGCTATGCTACGCTATGCTATGATTGTGCCTTCGCTTTTGCCTTCATGTTTGCCTTTGCTTTTGCTGTTGCTTGGCACCCAGGGAGCACAACTGGGGGAACCGCGCGTTTGCTTTTGCCTTTGCCCAGGGAGCGCAACTGGGGGAACCGCCCGGGGCGCTTAGCACTGCCCGGCCCAGAAAGCAAACCGAATAAGAACCCTTCTAGGCAGAACCTAGGTAGGGAATAAAAGATTGTCCCGGCAAGTCGCATGTGGGCATGTACGATGTACAGATGTGGGAGCATGAAGACTGAGAAATCATCCTCGCTCTTGGTTCTGGCGGGGCCTTCCCTGGATGGGGTGGGACGAGCACGGAACCTGAGAAATAGTATGGTATGGTATAGCGACACCCCGCTCGCTCTGGCGGGGCCTCCCTGGCGGGGTGGGAGGGGCGAACAACCTGCGAAATGACATGGTATAGCCACACTTCGCTCTCTCTCTGGCGGGGGGCACCCTGGCGCTCTGGTGGATGATGATAACAAAGGATGCCGATTTTAACAGAAGAGAATCATGATAAGACGACTCGCTGTACGATTCGTACTTTCCCTGGTGGTCATAAAGTTCGGCCTCGCCGCTCCACCCGCCTACGAACTATAAATACCCCATGGATATTCATGACTCAGGGGTTCAGGGGGGACTGCTTGATTATCGCGGGCATGCGGTTAGTCATCGCCATCTTCAGCATAATCGCGATGTGATCACCATCATCATCGCTCTCGCCGTCGTCATCGTCATCACCACACGCAAGCGTTTTGTCACAGGCCGAGCGCCTGCGTCTCCGCCCAGAAGCTGGGGAGCACCTGCGTGTCCGGCACATCGGTGGCGCGATCGCTGAACAGGACCCGACCGTCGCAGGCGAAGATCCCGACGCCGGCGTGGAACTGGCAGAAGGTGTGGGAGGGAACTTTCGAGGATCCGTCTCCAAGGTCCCGGCCTTCTCAGAAAAGCCCGTGGTCCAGACCTCGGGTAGGGGATCGACTACAAAGATGAATTACCTCAAAATTGCTTTGCCCGTCGATTCTTTCCAAAAATGTACAAGTTTCGTACATATACAAACCTTATACGTTTTTGTTTGTCTGTAGGTTCGACGGGACTTTCAACTGTGGGATTCATCAACTCTGTAGTCGGTCCCCTAATCGAAGACCTCCCAAGACGTGATCGTGTAAGTGCGCGGGCCTTGGAGCTCTCAACCCTTCCCCATGGGGCCAGTTGCTCATCCCAGGCAGCTACCTGACGGTCCCAAGGTGCAAAAACTGCCTGCAGATGCCCAAATCGGCGAGAAACCCTCGTCGAGATCTCTCCAGACGCTGGAGGTCTGAGCAGGGGCAGGGCTAGCTGCTTCAGGAGGTCATCCTCGGGCGGGCTGCTTCAGCAGCTCATCCTATACGGTCAAAACTGACAATGAGGATGCGGGGTAAAGATGCAAGCCTCGTGGACGACCATGTTGAGGCGTCTTCGAGCGCGGCGGGCCACCGAAAATGGTCACGGATGAACCGAAGAGGCAAGGATGCAAGGGTACCATCGGGATGGCTACCCATGCTCACCATCGGTCTCGAACGAGTGCCCCCTTTGGCGATGTCAGCTCACCACTGGCAACCAGGGCTCGGCAAAACGTGCAGGTCGCAGGGCACCTGCCGGGGAGCGGCACGGCTCCAGAAGGCCTATCCGTCTGGTCGATTCGTAGCGGCCTCGGGGTTGCCCCGCCCGCTCCCCTCTCTTTTTTCGAGCTCCTCCCCTCGTCATCCTCTTCCTCCTACGCCTCTGCAAACTGCGCGGGTCCCAAGAATATACACCACCACCACGTCGATTCCTCCATCTTCCTCCACCCTCATTTTCCTCTCCTCCTTCCTGGGGGAGGGACGGGATGAAGGAGGTGATGGTGGTGTATACCTTTGGTCCCCGCAAACTGGGCACAGCGGCTTCGGTTCCGTCCCACCGCCTGGCTCAGGACCAGCAGAAACTCGGTGCCCTCGCTGCGGGACACCGCGAAGCACAGGAGCGAGATCCCAGGAGGGGCATCTCCTGCCATCTATGCTGCGCTGGCATCAGGCGACTCTGTCTGCAGGAAGAAGATTGGAGAGGCGACTGTAACTTCTGACATGGGCGCTGGCATCTTCAGGCCTCGCTGGGTCTCCCGCACACAGCAGATCAAGCATCGAAGCATCGTCTGTCTGACCACATGCAACGTAACCCAAGCCATGAAATGATCGGTGCCCTGCACGCGTGCTCATAAAACAGTAACTGGCGAATCTCCGTTGCCCCTGACATTCATTCCTATTTCCATACGAAGTCTAAAGTCCCGATTCTGCTGCGCTCAGCTGCATTGCGACTACGAGAAGAGAAAACCTCCGCGTCATCGAAAGAGCCTGGATCAGGAAGTATGCCGTGCCATGCCTGTTTGCAGACCGCCAAGAATGTGCCGTGACGCGCCTGGGTATCCAAATGCGATCAAATTGAGGTGCCGTACTATGCCATGCTTGGTTTCGGGATGCGACACATTGCCGCGCCGTTCCATGCCTCGCTTTCAGAATGCCAATACATCGTCAGAACCGTGACATGCTGCGCTTCGTTTCCTCATGGAAAAAAAGATGTCGTGCCGTGCCGTTTCTTGCCACCTCTGGCTCTCATGATGCCAAAACTGCCAGCAATGCCGTGCCGTGCTGGATTCAGAATACGGAAAAACACCGTGCCGTCTCGTGCCGTGCCAAGTTCTCGTAATACAGAACAGTTACCGTGACGTGCTGACCATGACTTTCAAGATCCAACAAAAAAAGTTGTCGTGCTGGGCCGTGCTGACCATGTGCCTTACCATGTGCAGCGTGCGTGTTGAGGGTCTCTATGCCAGTGTAATGAATGTGCTCTGAAACTCCAGATACCTGCAGCGGCCTCTGGGAACACGGAGATGACCACAGACCGTGAATGGGACGGAAGTGGGGGAAACGTGTGGATGGATACGTGTTTCTTGATGTTTGGGTTGGCGGCGTATGGATGGAGAGGGGACGCACGCAAAGGTAGCAGCACAGCGCTCTTCACGATATAAAAGAATTCTGCATCGAGGCTCCGAAGCCCCCTAGATACCACTTGGCATGCAGAGCAGGGTGGCGAGGGGAGTGCAAATAGGAGAGGGATCCCGGTGGTGCAGCAGGTAGTCCGATGTCCATCGAGGGCCCGCCGTACTCCACGGCAAGATCAGGACGATGTCCTGATACGACGAGGAAGAGGAGGTTGGGAGGGGGAAGGCGGGGGGGCTGGAGGGGGAGGAGGTGGATTCCTCCTGATCCAACGTTCAGGGAAACGCACCGTGCTGGCAGTCCACCAGGGCCGGATTTCTGGCAGACGGTAGAATAGCAGTCGCCTTGTTGCGCTGCTGCTCGGAGAAGAGGAGATGGGTGGAAGGGCAAAGGAAAATGAGGACCGGATGGTACAAGGACAAGGGGAACCCTGCGGGATGCAGCAGGGACAGCGTATTGGCATGGAGGCGAACCAAAAAAAGAGAGAGTCCAGCGTGTTGCGTGCCGCACCCTTTTGTCGAGAGTCGGTGTCGAATCTCCAGCGGTGCACCTTGACTCGACGAAGAGGGGGGAGGGGAGAGGAGGCAGCAGGCAATGAACTGGCACGCGGGAGGGCAGGGAGGGGAGGCACCAGCGGACCAGCAGACGGAGGAGAGGGAGAGCATGGGGGCAGCGTAGGCGGGGGGAGGGAGGGAGAAGAGCGGTGGCAAGAGGGAGGCAGCGAACGAACATGCAGCAGTGCGGTCGAGTCGGGGTGGCACAGCGCAGGCGAACGGGAGATAGCAGAGGAATACAGGGAGATTCAGATCCGTCCGCCAGACTAGCCGCAGCAACGGCCGCGAGACAGGTGGCGGTCCTCCAAGCGACAGGAAGCCGTAAGAATGGAGGCTCACCGATCAAATGTGTACGATGTGAAATCATAGATGGAGGCAGGGACCTACCAATCTGCTGGTAACCCTACTGAATAGAAGACTGCAAGCATGAGCAGAGAATGGAAGCGGTACCAGTCTGCGCACGCAGCCAAGTTAGCAACCAGTCCGAATATAAAGTGTTAGACAAGAGTGACACCTCAGACAGACCTCCTTCGACGACGTTTGGCCTTGCCCTTGCTTTTGCTCGCCTTGATATACAATAGCCGGCCACACGTGCTGCATTCTTGAAGTAATATTTCCCCCTCCTCCCTCCTCCTCCTCCTCCTCCTCCTCCTCCTCCTCCTCCTCCTCCTCCTCCTCCTCCTCCTCCTCCTCCTCCTCCTCCTCCTCCGCTTCCTCCTTCTTTTCCTCCTACTTCTCCATCCCTTTGCCGTAAAAATACCTCCTCTCTATCACACCCCCAGACGTGTCGGCAGGGCTGGCACGGCGTTTCGTCTGAAACTTCCTTACCACTCATCATCCTGAAGCCTGAAATTTACAACAGTTTCACAGAGAAAGGGCGGGCCGCTTCCAAAATGTGGCTTTCGCCTCCGCGCCGCGCACATTCATGTTGAATTATTGCGACACTTTCAAAATGGAGGGCGGGCCGTTTTCAAACTGTGGCTCTCGCCGTAGCGCCGTGCACATTCGTCTGAAAATATTGCGACAGTTTCGCGGATGGAGGGCGGGTGCCCTTCAAATTATGGCTCTCGCCTGTTCGCCGTGGACGTTCGTCTAACAAGCTTTCAACAGTTGCACCGATGAAGGGCGGGGGGTGATCAAAGTGTGGCTCTCGCCGTAGCGCCGTGAAGGCTCTACGGCGAGAGCCAGTTGAAGGCGCAACGTGAAAGTTTCCAACAGTTTGAAGGCTCCGTGAAGAAGTTCTAAAACTTGCGTTCTGGCACGATGATTCGCGGCGCTGAAGTCCCAGGAGTTGCATTTGTTGCGATTGGTGAGTATCAGACGGTTGTCTTCCAATGGGGCACGTCCCGCAATGAAGATCCATTCTTGAAAGAACCTGTACAGAAGGAACCTGGAGGAAGGGTTTATTGTAACATCGCTACTACGACGTAGGTTTACAATGTCCCTCCTCCTTCTCCGCCTCCTCGCTCCTCCCTTCTCCCTCCTCCCCCTCCTCGGCCTCCTCCTCCTCGGCCTCCTCCCCTGCCTCCTCCCCGGGACGACGGGACGAACGAGCGAAGGGGCGGAGGGAAGGGGGAGCTGAGGGCGGGAAAGGGGGCAAAGGGGATATGGGAGAGGGGGGGAGCAAGTGGGACATGAGAGGGCGAGGGAAGGAGGGTACACGAAGTGGCCAGAAAAACAAAACACGAAGATGCGCAGGAGACGAGCCAGGGGCAGCACTGACAGCGGTCGGCGATAATGAAACGGTCCTGTACCAGCAGGTCGCCCGAGGGGCTTACAAGTCCACGGTCCACGATATGCTGGCGAATCGTCCTTGGAGAAAGGAGAGACAGAGGAGCAGCAACATCGTTTGAGTAGGAGACCCACCAGTACTCCCATTATGACCATCCTCACCATCATCATACTCGCCGTCGTCACAATGGTCTTGATCAACACTACCAACACACGCTTTTATTCGCAACCATCATGTTGCGTTTCGAATCAGAAGCGCCCCGCGTCATTCACTCACTCCCGCTGCCCCGTCTCTCGTCATTGCTCCTCTCCTTGCCTCTGGCCTCCACACGTCCTCGTCGTCATCGTCATCAGCCCATGCCGGCACAACCCTCACACATGTCGCAACCCCAAAGGGTGACCTCCACCGAGGGCCCTAGTGGCAGCGCCCGCATGGCGGCGCCGTCGCCTTGGCACACCACTCCCACGCTTCGAGGCCCCAGAGGGAGCCCCCCCACCGAAGGCGCAGTGGCAGCGCCCGCCTGGCGGCGCCACCTCCACTTCGGCACACCCCCGTTCCACGCGCTTCGCAGCCTCAGAAGGAGCCCCACTATAGGCCCCACTGGCAGCGCCCAGGTGTCGGCACCGCCTGATTGCCGGCACACCCCGCAAACGCTCCGTAGCCCCGTAGGGAGCTCCACCGCAGGCCACAGCGACAGCGCCTGCATGGCGGCGCAGCCACATTTTGGCACGCCCGTCACACGTTTCGTGGCCCCACGGGGCGCTCAACCGAAGGCCCCCGTGGCAACGCCCGCATGGCAGCGCCCTGCCTTCGGTCACCCCTCCCACGCTTCGTGGCCCCACGAAGGCTCTCTTCAAAACAAGGACCCAACACCACAGGGTGGTTGAGAATCATCCAAGCGGCACCACAGCGGCCCCAGGCGCCCAAAAAATTGCGTTCGGCCACCCAAGGAACCCCTCAAACGGCCAAAGACGGCTCGAAAAATCATTTTCGGTGCATGGCAAGCCTCCAAAACGCCTCCTGCGAGCTCGCAGGGGACCCCCAAGAGGGCTCCGCCAACCAAAAAAAAAACATGTTCCTTTTCGGGAATGTGATTTTCAAAAATATGTCGTTTTAGACCTCGACGCGCCCAAGGCGGCCCCACTGGCTCCCGAGATCGCCCCAAAAGGGCCCCAAGATGGCGTTCAAGGCCCAGAGAAGCCCAAGATGCGACCTAGTCGGCCCAAGAGGACCTTAAGAGGGGCCCACAAAAGGGGCCCAAGACAGCCCAAGATGGCCCCAAGGCGGCTCAAGACGCGCCCAAGATAGCCTAAGGCGGCCCGAAGACGGCTCCAAGGCGGTCCCAGAGGCGCCCTGCGCAACCCAAGGAAGCCCAGAGAGACCCTCAAGAGGCTCAAAAGTGAACCCTTCGGGATCCCAAGCGGCCCCAGGAGACTTCAAAACAGCCTCCAAGAAAGAGGGGGGCGGGCGGACGAGAGGCGAGCGGCCCCTCGCGGCCGCCCGAAAATCATAAGGCAGCTCGCCGCTTGGGCCCCACCGCCAGCCCAAACGGCGAGCATAAATCGGGCGTAGCCCCGCACGCATTCGAATACCCACACTTCGTCCTTGCACTACTCGTATCCCTCCCCGTCCTCCTCCCCATCCTGATCGTCGTCGACCTCCTCCTCGTCCTCCTCCTCATCCTCCTCGTATTCCTCAGCTTCTTCCTGCTCCAGCTCCTGTTCGTCGTCCTCGTCTGAGACCTCGGCCTCGTTTCTCCTCTTCCTCCTCCTGCTCATCCTCCTTCTCCTGGCACCTGTGGCCAAGAATAAAACCGTCTCCTATCGGTTGTGCCATAGATTGCGACCCCTCGCCGGCCAAGAATAAAACAATTGCGTAACGGGTGCGCCATAGGTTGCGCCCTCGGCGGCCGAGAATCAAACCGTCTCCTATCGGTTGCGCCATGGGTTGCGCCCTCGGCGGCCGAGAATCAAACCGTCTCCTATCGGTTGCGCCACAAGTTGCGCCCTCTGCGGCCGAGAATAAAGCCGTTGCGTAACGGGTGCGCCATAGGTTGCGCCATCGGAAGCCGAGAATGAAACGTTTCCTATCAGTTGCGCCACAGGTTGCACCCTCGGAAGCCGAGAATAAAACCGTCTCCTATCGGTTGCGCCATGGGTTGCGCCCTCGCCGGCCGAGACTAAAGCGTCTCCTGTCGGTTGCGCCATAGGCTGTGCCCTCGGCGGCCGAGAATCAAACCGTCTCCTATCGGTTGCACCATAAGTCGCGCCCTCGGCGGCCGACGATAAAAACGTTTCCTATACGTTGCGCCATAGGTTGCGCCCCCAGCGGCCGAGAATAAAACGTCTCCTATCGGTTGCGCCATAGGTTGCGCCCTTCGCGGCCGAGAATAAAACGTCTCCAATCGGTTGTGCCATAGGTTGCGCCCTCGGCGGCCGAGAAACCGTCCCCTATCGGTTGCACCATAGATCGCGCCCTCGGCGGCCGAGGATAAAAACGTTGCGTAACGGGTGCGCCGTAGGTTTCGCCCTCGGCGGCCGAGCATAAAAGCGTCTCCTATGGGTTGCGCCACCAGTTGCGCCCTCTGCGGCCGAACCTAAAACCGTTTCCTATCCGTTGCGCCATATGTTGCGCCCTCGCCGGCCGAGAATAACACGTCTTCTATCGGTTGTGCCATGGGTTGCGCCTTCGGCGGACGAGAATAAAACGTCTCCGATCGGTTGCGCCACAAGTTGCGCCCTCCGCGGCCGAGAATAAAACCGTCTCCTATCGGTTGCGCCATGGGTTGCGCTCTCGGCGGCCGAGAATAACACCGTCACGCAACGGGTGTGACCAGTCTGCTCAATTTAATTCAGTTCAATCAGTTCACCTCGCGAGAACCAAATTCGGGCGACGCCCGAAATAAAACCGTCTCCTATCGGTTGCGCCACAGGTTGCACCCACGGCGGCCGAGAACAAAAGCGTCTCCGATCGGTTGCGCCACAAATTGCGCCCTCGGCGGCCGAGAATAAAACCGTTGCGTAACGGGTGCGCCATAGGTTGCGCCCACGGCGGCCGAAAGTACAATTAAAACCGTCGCCGATCGGTTGCGCCATAGGTTGCGCCCAGGGCGGCCGAGAATCAAAGCGTCTCCTATCGGTTGCGCCACAAAGTGCGCCCTCGGCGGCCGAGAATAAAATCGTCTCCGATCCGTTGCGCCATAGGTTGCGCCCTTGGCGGCCGAGAATCAAACCGTCTCCTATCGGTTGCGCCATGGGTTACGCCCTCGGCGGCCAAGAATCAAACCGTCACGTAACAGGTGCGACCAGTATGTTAAGTTCAGTTCAGTTCAGTCAATTTTCCTCGCGAGAACCAACTTCGGGCTACGCCTGAAAACAGTTTTGACAGTCGGGCTCCGGCAACGACGACGACGACGACAACGACGCCCTCTCGGTTCAGAATTTCGGCTTTTGGATGTCCCAAGACCGTTGCCCCGCTGCGGTCGTTACGTTGCCGCGACGACGTTCCGACGCACCCGACGCGGCCCGAGACGGCGCCGCGGTGGAGGCGTCGGGACGGCGTCGCAGCAAAGTCCTAGCTCCTCGAGCGCCTCGCCTCCTCGGGGATCTCTTGAAAACTTATTCTGGGTACTCTTGGGCCGTCTTGTGAACACCTCGAGCTGTCTTGGGGCAGTCTGAGGCCGTCTTGGGGGCCTCGTGGACCTTTGTTTTCAAGCTCCGTGAGTAACGACGTAAACTGGCACGCTCAAGTGTCAAAAGAGGATGTAATATTCCGCAGCGCGTGAAAATGCATGGACAGCGAAACGCGTGGACAGCAGCAGCACAAGCAGGGAGAGGGAAGTAGGCAGCAGGGCAGAAAAAGGCCTCGTGGACTGTCCTGGTGGTTCTTGGGGCTCTCTGAGGCCATGTCGGTGCGTTTCTGTGGGGCCGTCTCCGAGGGTCCCAGGCTCCCTGCCACCGGCAGGGAGGCCTGGAGGCGTTGTCCTTTAAGGCCCCTGGCCCTGGTCCCAGGGCAAATGTATATACATGTACACAACACAAACACACACACACACACACACACACGCATGCACATACGCATGCATTTGTGCATGCACATACGCGCATAGATGTGCAATCATGTCAGAATGTTGATGTGCGTCTGTAAGTGTGCACATTCTGTACTAAATGGTTACGTATATACATAAAAACTGATCTGGGACAACCCCAGGTGCGACAGGGGAGCCTGGTTCCGGACCACCCCAGGAGGGCTCAAGACGGCCTCAGATGGCCCCAAGAAGGCCCTGGAGGGCCCCAGGAGGCCTCAAGAGAGCCCAACGAGCACCCCAAGACCGCCACGATGGGCCCAACACGACGCAAGATGGGCCGTGGGGCCCCTGCATTAGGACGCAACGGTCCGAAGGTCAAGATATACACATATATATATGTGCAAATGTCTATATCTATATATATATATATATAGATGTGTGTACGGCGTGCGTGCGCGCGTCAAAAGTGGTGTGGATACACATTTACACACATGCATACATACATACCTACCGACCTACCTACCTACCTACCAACCTACCGACCTACCTACCTACCTACATACATACAACATACATGCCTGCATACATATATATATATACACAGGCATACGTGCATACATGCATACATGCATACATGCATACATGCATACATGCATGCACACACACACACTTACATACATACCTACATACATACATACATACATACATACATGCATACATGCATGCATGCATACATATATACATACACATACATACATATATGCATACATACATACGTACACACATACATACAGACATACATACGTAGATGCATACATACATACAGTCATGCATACATATATATATATATATATATATAATATATATATATATATATATTTGCATACATGCATACTTACATGCATGCATACATTCATATATGCATACCGTCGTACAGACAGGCAGACCTACATTCCTGTACACAGACATACATGTATCATAGATGTGTGTATGTGTATGTATGCATGTGTGTATGTACGTACGTACGTACGTACGTACGTATATATATATATATATGTATATGTGTATATATATATATGGATGGATCGATGTGTGTATGTATGTATGAACGTATGCATGTGTGTACGTATATGTGTATGGTGTACGTATGTATGTATGTGTGTATGTATGTATGTATGTATGCATGTGCGTGTGAAGACATGGTGCATGTATGTGTGTATGCATGCACGTATGTATGTATGTATGTATGTGTATGTATGTATGTGTGTATGTTTGTATGTATGTGTGTATTGTTGCATGTATGTATGTGTGTATGCATGTATGTGTCCATGCATGTATGTGTGTATGTATGTTTGCATGGATATATGTATGTATGTGTGTGTCGCGCTTACATGTGCATTCATACAAATCTGCAAGCGTTAGTGCGCACACGTAGAGTACATAGAGAGAGAGAGCACAAAGAAAGATGGGCATACAGCGAGAAACAGAGAGATAGAGATATGTGTATATATAGCGAGAGAGAGAGAGAGAGAGACAGACAGAAACATGTCAGCAATGTTTTTAGATATAAAGAGGGTGAAAGAGAGAGAGAGAGAGAGACAGAGAGTTGCCCCTCTCCCTCCCCCCCCCTCGCTCCCCATCCCGTCCTCCCCTCCCCGTCCTCTCTCAAATCGCTTCCTCCCCAAATCCTTCCTCCTCTCTCCCCATCCTCATCTGCCTCCTCCTCCTCAGTCTCCTCCCCATATTACCTCCTCCACATCGTCTTTTATTATCCCTGCACTGTGCCAGTCCATCGTCCTCGTGCTTGCCTGGCATGCAGCTGGCCAGGCAGCTGGCCCAGAGGCCCGACTTCTCGTAGCAGCGAGTGCCAGGTTCAGTGCAACACCTCTAGGAGGATGAGGAGAGGAAGGAAGAGGATGAGAAAGAAGAAGGGGCAGGGGGGGGAAACAGGAGGGAGAAGGGAGCGGACAGAAGGGGGAAACAGGAGGGAGAAGGGAGCGGAGAAGGGAAACAGAAGAGGCACAGGGGGGAAACAAGCCAGAGAGAAAGAGATGTGACAGAAGGAAGGAGGAATAGGCGGAGGACGGAGGACGGAGGACGGCGGAGAGAGGAGCAGGAGCTGTTGGATGTCGCTGCCTGGCCGACAGCGCAGCCTCCCTCCTTGTGACCCTGCCGCGCCAGGGAGGCCCGCCCCTCGGTCCAGGCCGTGCCTGCCCAGCGCGCCGAACGGGCCGGGACCTCCGGGCCGCCCCCGCGAGGCTCCAAGCAGGGCCCCGCCCTGCCCCGGGGGGGTCGACCCAGGCCCAAGCCCACGGACGGTGCTGCGGGATGTCTCCGCGGCGGCCTCGGCTGGCCTCGCCACACTGGACCAGCGCTGCCCTGCGGGCGCCGCACGGAGGGGCGGCCAGCCACCGGAAGAAGATGAAGGGAGTGAACAAGAAGATCAAACAAAAATACCAATAATAACAAGAAGAAGAAGAATACGAATTATCCCTGTGGTGCAATCTACGTGGGAAATATGTGGTGACATCTAGGTGGTGCAGGCTATGTGGTAAACGCTATGTGGCGAAATTCATGTGGTGAGCTCTGTGGTATAAACTATGTGGTGGCCTGTGCCTGGTGCAAAGTGGGTGGTGCAACCCTGACCGATGCAGCAGGTACACACACCAGAAACGCAGATGCGCTACACGTGTGCCGTGCCAGCCCTGCGCTACGAGCTGCGTCGTGCCTCCTGCGTCTGGAGCACTCTGTGTGGTGAAAGCCCTGCGTTGCAAGGCGATGCGGTAGTTGCTGTGTGATGCCAGCTGAGCACGCGGTGCCCCGCCCCGCGCCCGCGCCGCCCCGCCCCCCGGAGGATCGCGGATCCACTGACCCTGGCCAATCCAAACCTCAGGAAGCAACTGCTGGGAGGCCTTCGTCGGAAGAAGCAGGGAGAACAGGAAGCCCCACTGGGGAGCTGCTGGGCCCGAGGGGCGCCCATGCTAGGCGCCGGCGGGCGGCCACGGGGGGCGCCCACGGGGGGCGCCCGCGAGGCGGCCGCGAGGCGAACAAACACCCGGCATGACCCGCTCGGCGCACCGGGCGCCGCACGAGCCGCCGCACGAGGCGGGCCACGGGTGAAGGCTCCGGCAGCCCCACCCCGCGCACGGGGCGCGCCCACGGGGAGCGCCCACGGGGCGGTCACCGACCGGGGCGCCAGGGCGTCTTCGGCTTTTGGGGGCTCCACGTCTGTCCGCCACGTTTAGCCAGGCACCCTACGGCGGGGGGAGAGAGCCTGCAAAGACGCAGATGGTGCTGTTCAGGCGCCGCCTCGGCGACGCCCTGGGACCCCGCCTCCAGGGGCGCTGCCTCACCACGCTGCTGGACCGGCGCGCTGCCGCCCGGGGCCCTGGCCGCAAGTGCCCCCGCGGCCTCGGCGGACCCGTCCAGGCACTTCCTGTGAGGAGTGGAGGCAAGGAAGCGCAGGCACTGTTTGGCGAACGGCACTGCGACCCCCGACTTGCAGCGAAGAGCGCACGCACGGGGGCGGCGGGTCAAGAGCCAGACACATCCAGGGCAGCGAGGACTGCGGACGGGAGGGGGGGGCAGGGGGAGAGGGGACACAGTTGTAGGGAAGCGAAGAGGAGAGGACAGGCCCTCCCCCCTTGCCTGCTCTCCCCCTCCCTCCTCCCTCCTCCACCCTCCTCCATTGCTTCCTCCCCCCTCCCGACACCTCTCTCGGAAAAGGGCCAACCTATGGCCACGGCATGAGTACCTCTTGGAAGTGAAATAAACACATATCCGAACATAAGTGTATATATATGTGTGTGTTTATGAATATGCGTACACCTCTCTCTCTCTATATATATAACCTCGCTTACACCGTCCCCATGCCCCATCACTCCAACGTGGCTCAGGCAGGGGGCCGCGCGAGGGACGGATCCCGGGTAAAGCGCTGTCGGAGGGGCATCTGCCCCGTGGCGCCCGGGGAGGGGGGAGCGTCGGACGGGTTGGGGGTGCCCGCTCGCCCCTCGTCGGACGGCTGCGGCGCAGCTTCCGGCGCGCGGCGTGTGGGCCGCGGCCCCGTCAAGCAGCCGCAGCAGACGGGGCTCGCGGCACGGCTGCGGGCAGTGCATCGAGACACTGCTTTTCTGTGCA